CCACGAGGAGAAGAAATTCCTTTCGCCCGATCCTCCGGCTTGATAAACGGCTTGCTCACGGCGCTCGGGAAATCCCCCTCTCCGCGCCAAACAATAGAGCCGAAGAGAAAGCTCCCAAACACTCAGGGAAACCCCTTCGCAGCGCCAAGCAGCCAAGCCAAAGAAAAAAAGGCACTCAAGCACTCAGGGAAACCCCGTCGCAGCGCCAAACAGCCGGAGCGAAAAAGCGGCCCCACGGCAAAGGCGAGGCCTCAGGAAAGTGCGTCCCTGCCGTCCCCAGGGACTTGCTCCTAAAGAGCTGGAAAAAAAACACCAACTGCTCTGTAGCCTACTTAACTAAATAATATAAAAAGAAAATACAAACACAATGAAACCTGCCAACTAACTATCCTAAGCTAAATAGTTAATTTGCTAACTTGAGGAGCTATCGAAGTTGTGTCCTACTGAGCCGAGACTAAGACAAAACTGGGAAAGGACCGCCCAAGGGAGGCGTGGCCAAAGTTTGGTCTTAGTCTAAACTGAGCAGGAAGGCTTCGATAACCCATTGGTGGAGGCTACATCTGTCATGCTGGAGAACCAGTGCTAAGGCATCCCAACACTGATAAACCTTTCGTGATTCAGGTGGATGCCAGTGATGTGGCTGTGGGGGCTGAACTTTTGCAGGAAAATGATGAGGGGACACTACAGCCCTGTGCATACACATCAAGGAAACTCACGGAAACAGAACAGAGGTGGGCAGTTTGGGAAAAAGAGGCATACGCAGTACGATGGGCTCTCCTCACTTGGCAGCACTTCCTGGAAGGGAACAAAATTCCTTTCCAGGTGTGGACCAACCACAAAACTCTGAAAGCACTAAAAACGCCCCAGAAATTAACTCCCAAACAAGCGAGATGGTCACGACATTTCCACCAATTTAACTTCACATTAAAACACCTCCTGGGAGAGAAAAACTTTCTAGCAGACGAATTGTCCCGAATGCCTCAATATAACAGTACTCAAAGTGATGTAACAAAGCCACTTATGCCGGACAAAAGCTGGCAGTACAGGTCACTACCCAAGCACAAGCCAAACTCCAAAAACCTTTAGCAAATGAAGCAGGAATCGAGTTCAAAAAGGCACTAGAAACCAATGAATGGTTTCTAAGCCATAAGAACCTATGCACCATCACTGATGGATTATCATGAGTGGGAGGAAAATTATATATACCCAAAAGCCAGAGATTAACATTCATGCAGCTGTGCCACGACTTGAAATCCGCAGGCCATTTTGGGTTTGTAAAAACATTGCACTTAGTAAAAAGGCAATTCTGGTGGCTGTTGATAAAAAAGGACATTGAAAGCTATGTGGCCAGCTGCCCGATTTGTGCCTCAGCAAAGAGACTACAAGGGAAGTCACCTGGATTACTGCAACCAGTGGCGACCCCCTCAGCACTCTGGAAGGAGATCTCCATGGATTTTATTGTGGAATTACCCAAGAGTAGCAGAAACAAAGTCATCTGGGTTGTAACAGACTTATTCTCCAAATAAGTACATTTTATTCATTGTGCAAAAATTCCTGATGCAAAAACACTCACAAAACTATAACAGCACATATATCGACTTCATGGAGCCCCTCAATGCATCATATCCGATAGAGGAGTACAATTCACATCGGAGTTCTGAAAAGCATCCCCAAGCCTGTTAGAAACCACACAGGGACTGTCATCCAGTCATCATCCGCAAACTAATGATGGGACTAAACAGTCGAACTCAGTACTGGAACAATATTTAAGATGCTTTATTAATTACCAGCAAGACAACTGGACTGACCTGCTTCCGTTCGCAGAATTTGCTTACAACAATGCGTCCACTCCAGCATGGGCTACACTCTTTCCAAGTAGCCACGGGACAGAGTTTCAACCCAATGCCTGAACTCTCAACAGACCCTACAATCCCTTCATTAAAAGAGAAGATTGCACAACTAAAGAATACCTGGCCAGTAGTCAGAAAAACCTTGGATGAGGCTCGGCAAGCAGATAAAATGCAAGCAGATAAAAAGAGAGTTGAGCCCAAACCGTTTAGTGCAGGGGAGAAGGTTTACCTATCTACCAAATATCTAAAATCCTTACAACCCTCCAAGAAACTGGGACTCAAATATGTAGGACTATTCCCCATTCTCAGAATCATAAACCCTGTCACAGTAGAGTTAGATCTCCCAATGTCCGTCAGACAAATTCATCCAATTTTCTACTGCAGCCTTCTAAAACATGAGCAATAGTCACCGTTAAGACCAGCTTTTGCTCCTCCCCCTCCTCCCATTATGGTAGAAGGGGAACAAAATTTCGAAATTAAAGAAATCTTAGATTCCAGAAAATACCATGGCTCCACTCAATGGAAACATCTTCTGTCCTCCCAAAATGAGTGGGTCCACAAACGCCATATTAAAGCCCCTAAACTGCTTAAGAAATTTCACACAAAATACCCAAACAAACCAGACTAACCTATATCTTTATTTGTCTCTGTTTTCCCACAGGTGGATCTCTCTTTTTTTAAGGGGGGGCAGGATGTCAGAATATTGTTTAAGGGGCTCTTTTCTAATTCTATTCTTTCTATCCTTCTGGGTTCTGCCATACTTCTGGAAGGGAGGGGGGAAGATGCTGCGGGCTGCCGCTTTGTTTTTCTCTATCACTACAATGTAACTCTTTCACTGTCTCCGCATACATGCTCTTTGAACTCTCTCCCTTGATGTCAGCTCGAAAGGGGGGAGAAAGGAATGCACCTCTGGGCATCTGGGTTATCTCCTGTTTCAGAAGGGAAGGTGTGAAGACCCAACAAACATTGCTACAAGTCTGAGACAGACCGGTATTATCAGCTCTTTCCCACAACAGACCTGGAGATTGGCCCATTTGAACTGACCGGATGAACCATTGGGGTGGGGTTTGCTAGGGACTCTTTTAATCTATTGATCTGAGTGGGAAACCCTCAGATCCTGTCTATTATGCCTTCTATCAGCTTCTCCTAATAAAAGTTCATTTTGGAAGAAACTGCTTCCATGAGTTCTGCTTTCTTAGGATGAGGTTTTGAAGTGGGCCCTGACAGATCATCAATTCCAATTTTAAAATTTTGTAAGGGTTAGGGTTAGGTTTACCTAGGTTGGATATTATGCTCTCACCAGTGCTTCTTGGACATTTTAAGGGTACTCCTATTTATCTTTGGTTATGTCCATGTGTTGATGGTTCAACAGAATCTCTAGGCCATATGCACAAGTATAGAATAGGTGGTAATTGATTCAATAGTAGTAACTGTGAGAGGGACCTAGGAGTCCTAGTGGACAACCACTTAAATACAAGCCAGCAGTGTGCTGCACCTGCCCCCCAAAAATGTAGTCCTAGGCTACATCAACAACCTTCATGAACCAAGATCATGTGAAGTGTTAGTGCTGCATTATACTGCTTTGATTAAGAACACACTTGGAATACTATAGTCAATTGTGGTCACCACTATTCAAAAATCCCAAGGATGTTTTTTTCATGAGGCAACTGGACTTTCTCAACAGAGGGGGAGGGATCCGACTTTCTCAAGAGAGGGAGAGGGATCTTACATCACCTATCTCCAGTCTACAACACAGTCCTTTCAACAGTTCCAAGAAGGCTCCACTTCCATTTGCACTACTCAGGTGTCCCTGAAGACACAGATAACCCTCCAGGTAGCTTTAACGAGTCGCTAAAAGAATGCAAATGACCAGCTGTCTGCAGGAGTATAAATCTTTCCATTCCCCACCATCCAGTCAGAGCTGAAGAAGCTTCTTGGATGAGAAGCGAAATGTCTTCAAAGAAAAAACAAGAAAGTCCAGTTGCCTCATGAAAAAACATCTTTGAGATAACTATGACCTGGATGACTGAGAATCTCCATAGACACTATTCAAAAATGTTTAGAAAGAGTGCAGAAAAGAGCCAGAAAATTTATTATAGGACTGGAGGCTAAAATACATGACAAATGGTTGTAGGAACTAGGTGTGTGTAGTTTAACAAAAAGAAGGACGATGGTGACATGATAGTAGTCTTCCAATATCTGAGAGGCTGTCACAGAGAAAAAAAGGAGGGAAATCACCTTATTCTGCAAAACACCTGAGGGCAAAAAGTAATGGATGAAAACTTATCAAGGAGAGATCCAACCTAGAACTAGAAGAAATTTCCTGACAGTGAGAACAATTAATCAGTGGACCAGCTTGCCTCCAGAAGTTGTAGGTGCTCCATCACTGGAGGCTTTTAAAAAGAGATTGGACAGCCATTGTCTGGAATGATATAGGGTCTCCTGCTTGGGCATGGTGTTGGACTAGAAGACTTTCAAAGTCACTTCTAGCTCTGTTATTCTGTACTCTATATAAGAACTCTAAGCTGACCCTTATATAGCCTCTCTTGAAGAAATTTCCAGGTAGGGAATACAATTTCTATTTAATGCTACTACTCTCAGACAAGGACTCAAGACCCAGTTCTATGTTACCATTTGTATGACACACTGTACTATTACATAATAATATTTTAATTGCTTAATTATTTTTTTATTCCATTATGCTTACTGTTTTTCTGTTTTATATATATGTATGTATGTATGTATGTATGTATGTATGTATGTATGTATGCATAGAAGAATATAATACTTATTTTATTCAATATCTTGTTTTTATCAGGCTACAACAGCTATAATAAATTTGAATTTGATTAACAATGATCCCTCAGATATTAAGCAAGAGTTTTTCCTAACCTAATGCTGAAGATAACTTCAGAGATATTCATGCATAGCATGTCCTCTATTAAAATATTTATGGCTTTTCCCTGTAGAATAACCAGGACATATAGTTATCCTTAATTTTAGAATGCAGAATTATATGGATTTTTTTTTAAAAAAACACACTCAATAATTGAATTAATAATCTTTAATCTATAAAAGTCTTATTGTGTTATTTCCATGCATTAATTGATCATATTATTGTATGTCAAAGTTTCTTTGTCATATACTTACTATCTGTTGAATTTCTCATTGGATATGACTGTGTATAGTTATTCACACAATTCAGTAACATTGGGCTCACAGAAACACAGTAATTTTCAAGAGTCTTTATCTGGGAAGGGCCCGGAGAAGTATCTGTTCGAAAGATTGCTTGACAGTATTCCCAGCAATTTGTTTGATGGCCAGCGTAATTGCAACAAACTGATCCCACTAAGGAAAAAAAGAGGTTTTATTATTAAAAAGTATATTCATCTTTGCTGATAAACTTGAATATACAATTCTGTTTAGAATTTCAGGAACTAACTACCATTGTTCTTACTACTACATAGAAATATTTGGCCAAAAGGTTCTATATTTTGAAACATACTGAAATACGTAAAAAGGACTATTAAATTTAGAAGAAATGCAATCTATTCTGCTTGAGTCTGTTTTACACATGTGACGCAGATATATCCTCTTGAAAAATTATTTTTAAAAGGTAAAATGAAATCAAGAATATAAAAAGTCAAAATTCAGTTTTTTTATAAAATAAGATACTTACTTTCATTTCTATTAATACAACTAAAAAGGGTGTTCTAAAAATAAAAACAAAAAGCATAATTAACAGCTAATAGTGAAAAATTAATGGTACATTTGCATGAATATGTACCTGATAAGCAACAGAATCCAAATAAATTATACATACATACATACATACATACATACATACATACATATTTGGGTCGACAGGGTGCATCAAAAAGCACTCAAGGTAATTCTCCTCCCCTGTCTCTTCCCTCCCTAACAAAGTGAGAAAGACCCTGTGGCCTAGAGGTTAACACAGCTGCTTAACATGCAGACAGCCCAGGTTTGAATCTCAGAAGGGTATGTCTGGTTGATAAGAACTAAAAAGTTCGAAATAGCTATTCCAGTTCTCCCTTAATTCTTTGTTAGCAATACATATACATAGGGAGGGAGGGGGTGGGGGGAGAGTGAGAGGGGGGAGGATGGAGGGTCAGTGATAACCCTCGTGGGAGGGATGGAAACATCACATCTGAGCGGTGAGAAAAGGGAGAGGAAAGGAATTTGGGTTCCCCCCACCTGGAGGGCGGGGGTAGAGAAAGTCAGCGATAGAAGGCGCAAAGCATTTAAAGGGACCCCTTGCACTGGAGTAGGCACCTCGCCCGTAATACAGCAGGAGCAGCTGGGTCCATTAACACGTAGCAGAAGCCGGATGCAGGCGATCAACGCTTTATAAGGGTTTCTCCCAGACTGCTGTTTTAACGCCCTGATGATGTCAGATGGTTCTGACGAAAGCTCGGCTCATTAAATTGTTAAACTTTTAAATTTTATTCCTCATATATATATATATATATGTGTGTGTGTGTGTGTGTGTGTGTGTGTGTGTGTGTGTGTAGGTCTTTAGTTATTCGGGTTTTCTCCCACGTAGAATTAGAAGTGTCTTGGCGACGTTTCAACGAAGTCACATTCGTCATCTTCAGGCTGGTGTCTTCAGCTTCGTGCTTCTGGGAGTAGTGTGTATGATCGCAGCTGTTTCTTCCTTTTAACTGCCAGTGGGGTTTGAGCTGATTGGGTGGGAGCTTGGCTGTGTTCTGATTGGGTGGAGGTGTGTTCTGATTGGTTAAGGAGCTATATATATATATAGTAAAAACAACTGCAACGAATGCTCTGCTAACTACGTGGGAGAGACCTCAAAAAGAGTTGGAACAAGGGTCCATGAACATAGGCTCGCCATAAAAAGGGGGGAGCAACGTTCCCAGCTGTGGACGCACATGATGGAGACTGGCCACAAATTTGATCTGAATGGCGTGCAGATGATTGCCAGTGATAGTACTAAAGGCGGTAGACTCCTCAAGGAAGCCTGGCTGTCGGGAGAGGGCTCCATTAATAGGCATGTAGATCTATGCCAAGCACATCTGGCATTAAGGGCACGGAATACCCGCGTCCATAGACCTCGGAAGAGGTGGGAGGAGGGGGGAAACCCCTTCCCCAACACCCCCTGAACAACGGTGAAGCCGGCTTGGGCACTTGCCCAGGATGGAGCACCAGTGCCCCCGACGGACAGAAGAACCCATTGACAGCAATGCTCCGGCCTCGAGCGGATTGAGCATCCCATCTGAATGTGGGGAAGAGAAGGACCTACTGCGAACGCATGCCAACGTACGGCACAGCTGCCACCAGGAGGATCATTTTTCTTTACCCCCCGACACCCCCGTCGGTCCCATACCTTTGAGTATCCCTGTGGCACCACCGGATGAATTGAGACTGTCTATGCATCCTCCGAAGTTTGCCCTGGGAGCGGTCACTCGCTCCCGGATGATAAGCCAACAGAAGGAAGCAACGGTGTGGAAAAACGATTTGAAACTGTCAGCACGTCTTCCGGAATCCCCAAAACCCCCGGCGTGCCTGGAAACACGAGGAGGGGGAGGTGAATGGCCCCGTTGTGTCTCAGGGATAATCACACGCTCCCAGATGGCCGCCCTGCGAACAAACACGGTGCCTCCCATGGGAAGAGGAGGGGAGGGAGAGCAATGCTGCCCCATTTTAGGAGCAGTCACACGCTCCCGTGTAGCCACCTTGCAGACGAATGAAGTGGCCTCAGCAGGAAGAAAAAGGGGGGAGACGGGAAATACGAGAAAGGCTGTTCAGAGAGGGGAGGGGGAAAGACCGAGTAGACAGGGAATTGCAACTGCAGGTCAAGGTGGAGAGGGGAGGGAGAGCTATGGGAAGAGGAGGGGAGGGAGGGCAATGCTGCCCCGTTTTAGGAGCAGTCACACGCTCTCGCGCAGCCGCCTTGCAGACGAACGAAGTGGCCTCAGCAGGAAGGAAAAAAAGGGGGGAGACGGGAAGTACGAGAAAGAGTGGCAAGTTGTGTGAGGATAGGAACAGCGCAGGCAAGTTGGTTAATAAAACAAAAACAGTATCAGAACGCCGATTGGCTGACGGAATCCCATGATAACATCCTACCCAGCCCACGTTTTCATCAAACTGGTATTTATCCGCGAGGGTAATTGGATATATCTAGGGACTACTACGGTCGTCACCGACCACTTTCGAACCTGAGATTGAATAATTTTGAAAATATCAAAAATTAAGAAGGACCACAAGTGAAAGAAAACAAAAATGGTACTTACATGGGTCCTTAGTAAGTAGACAAAAATTTCATATAGTTTAATCCGCCAAGCTTTCGTCAAGTGCACTTGACATCACCAGGGCTAAAAAGGCAAATGCTGCTGAAGACTTATATATAGCCATTCAACGCCTGCTTCCGGCTCCTGGAGCGCGTAACCAGCCCCAGCTGATCCTGCCGCACTTCGAGCGCGCTGCCTGCTTTGATGTTCGGCTCCTTTTTCTGAGTTCGCGTCCTTTCGAGTGCTATTACATTCATTACCAACCAGGGTGTTAGGCAGATTCGATGGTAAGGCATTCTTGCTTTCCCTGCATACGGCTCCCCCGCTGTTATACGTGTGTGTGTCTCTGAGAGGTGGGGGGGAATGTAAGTTGTTTCCTGAATTCTTATGAACACGGTGTCCGCTCTCCCTGCGCCCCGGCGTAGGTCGTTCTTTCTCCTTTTTGTTTCCATTCCCCTCCCTCTCCCTCCCTCCCCCACCACTGATCTTGTGCGGTTGGTGAGGCACTTTAGTGCCATGCACCTCGGCTCTGTCTCTCTCGCAGGGCGCCCCCGCCCTACTTTTTTCCCGGCAGGCCACCTCCGCTCTGTCAACCTCTCCGGCTCTGTCTCTCCCCCAAGACGTCCCAATCTCATCCCCCTTGCCCACTATCTGGGCGTCCTCGATCGTTACTCCACGTCTAGCATTTTGTCGTTCAATCCATTGTCGGCAGGTCGCTAGATGTGCTGGGGAAACCCTCCCCCCACTTCGTCTCGACTGGGTTGTCATAGGATGTCTGACGGTGCTGCCGGCGGGTGGCTCGTCCTCCCCCCAGTCCTTTGGTCTCGTGATGTCTCGCTCATTCACCTGCCCCCTGGGTCTCAATCCTTTGTTGGATGAGCGGTCTCCCCCTGCCAGGGGGAGGCACGTCGTAACCGCCTCTGAAATCGCTGTGACGGTTGTTTGCTGGGACCCGTTTGTTGGGGGCCAGCTGACGGCTGCACGTCCAACGGAAGGGGCCACTGTTCCAGGCTTTGCTAGTCCGATCGAGTGGGGACAGGTGGGGGCTCCAAGGGATGTTCTTTTTCCAGTCTTGCATTTCCCTCCTCACTCCTCCTAGGTCGTTCGTACAGCGATTGATGTTCCATGTCCTGAGTGCTCAATGAGCTGAGCATAGGCCTACATGGCGGTTGATTGAGTCCGCCCCTGACAGCCATGCTTCTTTTAGCAGGCGGCCTCCCTTCGTGGAGTCATTAGCTAAGACCTGGGCATTCTCAAAATCAAAGCGATGTCCATGCTCCATCATGTGGGCCCAAATCTGAGAGTATGACTCCCCTCTCCTGACTGCCAGTCTATGTTCTTGAAGGCGTGTTCCCAGTCTCTTAGATGTTTCGCCTATGTAATTACTCTGGCATCCCATGCAGTCGATCTTATAGACAATCGCTGATCTCTCAGCACTGGGGAGTTGATCTTTGGGGCACATTACTTTTGCCCGCAAGGTCTGGTCAGGTCTGTGGGCCACCTTTATGCCATACGGCGCCAGTAGCCTGGCCGTGGCCTCCGATACATTGTTGACATATGGTAGAGTCACCCACGTAGTTTGTATTGCGGGTCCCCCTTCACTCTGCCGTACTTCCTGGAATTTTGGCATTGTACTATGCCGTTTAATGAATCTAAGGGGGTAGCCATTCCTCCGGCAAATCTTAAACAGATGTTTCCTCTCCTCCGTCTTTGACTCAGCCGTGCTGCAATGTGACTGTACCCGTTTGAATAGGGTCCTAATGCAGCTGGCTTTATGGGAGGTCGGATGGTTACTGTGGTAATGGAGGATGCGGTCCGTGTGCGTGGGCTTTCAATAGACTTTGGTGTTTAGCGTGCCATTCAATGAGCGTTGGACCAAAACATCCAAAAAGGCTATCGAGCCCTTGACCTCCTCCTCCACAGTAAACTGTATATCCAGGTATATGGAATTTAACACTCCCATAAAGTCATGCTGATGGCACCATTTAACAACCACGAAGGTGTCATTGACGTATCGAGCCCAAAATTTGGGTCGATACCGGGTCATGGCCTCTCGCTCCAGCTGTTGGAGGACCGCTTCCGCCACCACGCTGGATATTGGTGAGCCCATGGGTGTGCCCTTCACCTGCTCATATATGACCCCTTGAAAGGAGAAGTAGGTAGTCAAGCATAGCTGTAAAAGTTGCACTAGGTCCTCGGCCTGTAGGGAATCTTGATGTCTGGCTCTTCCTTGCTTCTCCAGCTGGTCTTTTAAGACCCTAACCGCTATATATATATATATATCTTGAGTTTGGTGCACCCTGTCGGCCCAAATATGGGAGAAAGCAATCCAAATTTTGAAATATATATATCCTTAGTATTCACAATAAGAATGGATGCCCATTCGAAATTCCCAAAGTTAATAAAATATTTTAAAAGATTAATTCAATACCTTAAATTCATCA